GAGCTTAGTGCGACCAGAGGAAAAAAATATATGGAGAACTCTGTAGAGAAAATTCTCAAAGCTATGTAGCATCACCATTTATTAAAGAATTTTATTCTTAATAACTATTGTTTCTCCATATATTTCAGGCTTTTTAAAAATGAGAAAAAAATACTTTATTCCAGTCTTAGCCAGTTTTCAACCAGTGCTCTGATTGACCAGGCTGTCTTCCTGGCTAGTATAACTCCAACGGACCCAAGTAAAATCAGACTTGCAGAATTCAGTCAAGGAAGGCATCTCGTTTTCCAATACAATTTGCTGGAGGAATTTCGTTCTTTTAAAACTTTCATTAGCCAGATCTACAAATGAATAGAAATCACTGTGGAGGGGGGGTTATTTACCTGTGTAGGCCAGTGAAAATACATTGAGTTACACATCTTGAAGCCCAGGCTGTGTGCTTGTTCAGCTATTCAATTTCATTTTTGTACTGAGTAATGTTTAGGGATATGCCCCAGATCCACATTTTTTCATAAAGCAAATATTTGGGCCTCATCTTTATTTGTCTAGAGTTGGCATGTCTCCACTGAAGTTAGTTGAAATGAAACCAGTATGAAACTCATGTAAGACTAAGCAGAATCAGGATTTTGAATTAAGCAGTGATTCAGGATTCATGATGCTCTTTACGTGATACTCAACCACTTCCGTGTTATCCATAAACAGAAGTAATAACACATGTACAGTGATAATCACGTAACGAAAACATCATGCTTTTTTTCCCAGACTCCTTTGTACTCCCTGAGAGGGATGCAATATCTCAACCTAACCATATGCTATTTCTTTAGTGATTGTCATAGCCTAATTCCGGTTTTATTGCAAATGTATCCTTTTGCGCTGCAGTATAGCGGCGTAATGCAGCAGCTGCTTGTGACACAACAAAGTTTTACAAATATATGTGACTACAGTAATTCAGCTCTTGTTCATTTGGGTCCTGCTAGCCATAGTGGCTCTCGGCGCCGAAGGCAGCAGTGCAGAGAGGCAAGCACAAAAGCGCCAGCTGCTCAGCGGAGTAAGGCAGCCGGAGCTGCCCCGAGCGGGGCCGGGGAGGCCGCGGGTCAGCACTGCAGCTCCTCCAGGCCTCGTGGAGTTACTCAAGGAGCGATTCTTCAGCACCAGACACTGTCGGTAGTTAAGAAGTTGCCTACCTTGAATACGAGTGTGTAGTCCAGCTCCATGGCTCAGCAACAGCCATTTTCCACCTTTATATATTTAACTATGACACTTCAGAGTCTATCAAGTTACCCTCGTTTTCTTCATCCCTAAAGGTCCTGTATGAATCCCATTTCCCCTTCCAGTGTACAAATCATCCCCAGCTATGAACTCGGACCCTTTCCGTTACTGCGGAGTCAATGGATTTCTTCCCCGCGCTGGGTTTCGGGTACAGCTGTAACCTCCCAGCCCCGGCTGCTGCAGGAGTCGACGAGGGCGCGCTGCTGCTCTTCGGCCCGGGCAGAGCCGCAGCTTTGGGAGGCCAGCGCTCGAGCCTGGATAAGGCAGCGTCAAACATCGGAAAGCGACTGCACTGAATTTTGTTTCATGAGGGGCATATACAGATGGGTAGGGTTACAGCTACTGCTGTCGTGCAGAACTTGTCACTTACTGCTCTTGGGGCTGCATTGTGAGCCCGCCTCGCTAGTCGGAGGGATGAGCAGGTCCCTCGCCACAACCACAGCAGAAACGTTAGGACTCGGGTGGCTCCTTCGGGCACTGCACGCTCCTGCGCTGGCGATTTCGGCCCCTGGCCTGATGGGCAAGAGCTGTGGCCACTGAAATTGGAGCTGCTCCCCTCCGCTGCCTCTAGCAGAGCTGGGTTTTGCCCAAGCAGGCAGGCAGTCTGTCCAGGGTCTCGCGCTGGTTGCCATCTCTGCAGCATCTCCCCACCGCCCTGCATGTCTGCATGTCTTGCATTGATGAAAATGACCCTACAGTACATTGCAATGACTATTCATAGACAAAATTGAGGATGGAAGAGCAGGAAACGCCATTGCAAAGGCCATGGGAAAAACACAAGAGGCTCAGGAAGGTCTCCAATAGGAGACGATAGGATGATAATTCAGGGCTGGTGTCTGGAAGAGGACAGTCTTGTTATTAATGCTGAAATCTCAGTCTTGTGGAGCAGGAATTAAAGCCCTAACTTTAGAGCTGGACTACCCTTACACGCCCCTTCTAGGGCCATCGCCTTCGTGGGGCCTTGATCCTCTCCTCATCTCCGGAGAACCTGCATTGTTCCTGCTTCTCCCTGCTCTGGCTGCAGCTCTGGCAAGGCAATGCCTGAGGGTTTCTCCCTCTCAACGCTTGCCGTTACCGGGCAGAAGGATCCAGCTGCCTTTTGTTGGTAAGGAGAAGAGTTTTCCAGGCGTTTGCCGGTTCCAATGCTTTTTATTTTGCAAAATCTTGGAGATGTTTCACAGGTTTTTAGAGAATGTATGAGAGGAACTCCCCGCTATAACACACCCTATGCTCTCGTGGTGCGGCCGATCTCGCGGGGATAAATCTGCATCATCTGCCTAGCAGAAGCTGCCCCTGACATGCCCTCGTCGCTCCCGAGTGGGCTGGCGTTGGCCTTCCCCGGAGGGCCGGAGCCTGTCTGTCCCTTGGCCGAGTCCCCAGCGGTGTGCGACGCTTGTTACTCAGTGCGGTAACTCCACGAGTGCCCCAGGCCACGGGCAGGACTCGGCTTGGCGCTGGCTAGACCCGCGGAGGCCGCAGGGGCGGCCGGCTGCGTGCAGCGGGGGAGATGCATCCTGCCTTCCTGGGGCCGCAAAACCCCAGGAACCAACCTGGAGAAAACGCATGATAACTAAAGCCTCGTAGGGTTATAGAGTGCAACTAACTGGGGAAACAAACGCTTTGTTGCTGAAGTTGAAGACTGCATCCCAGGCTGGAATGAAACCGTTCAATAGCTGCTTCGGAATAGGCAAATTTTGGTGGAGCAAAGCTATCTGGGGCCAGATTTCAGTTCCCACTCCACAGTCATCCAGGCGAACAGGAGGGCAGGGGAGCGTCCGCGCCAGCTGCCTTCCCGCGGGAGGCGTTCGACCTCCGCCGCCCGCCCGCCCGCCACAGAGTCTGGCAGACGGCA